AATCCTTCAGAATGATATCTGGATTACAGGTTACATCTAAGAAGCCCAAACTTAAACAGTTTTTCAAAGGTGCCTAACTGCTTTGTCAGAGAGAGATGCTGTTCCCATCACTTCCCACAAAGGGTCCCAGGACACAGCACTTTCACCTGGTAGCTACTCTGAATTCTTACTGTGCTTTTGCTCTAAATCCCAACAGTAGTTTCATAGCTCAGTAAGAGACCCCCAGCAGCCAACCCTAACAGTCCTAGTGCAATGCATACCACAGGGCTGTAATTAGGGAAATATTTTAATCCTTCACCATAAGAGGGTTAAAGATGACAATTACATAATCGAGAATGGGTATAGGTAATTCTAACAGCATCCACAAATTCATAAAAAGCGTTCTTAACACGAACTGACTATCACAGCAATTCTCTGGAAACAACAGGATAAAGCTTATTCACTTCTCATTCCAAGGAGCCCCTCTAGGGATTAGAATACAATGACATTCCAATTATAGCAGGAGACTGATCAGTGCAAATTTACAATTCTGACTTGCTAATGCTGTGGCTAAGCACATACAATTATGTGGATTTTCATTCTAGTGTTTCAATGACCCTTCAAAAACTGTGCTCTATGACAGCAACATGTATTTGCCAGAGGCATCCTGAGCGGAACGTTTGATATGATCCCTTCACACAAGACATTGAAGTGCCTGGGCACAGCTGGCATTGAAAAATTTGTATTAAGCTTTCTATTATGCCAAATATTTTACTAATAGCAAAAGAGATATTTGTGATTTTAAAACTCTTCTATGTTCAAAGCATAGCACCTCCTCAAGATCTTCATCAGCTAAATGCATCTTTGAGGTCAGCCTCCATAGGGGAAAAACAGTTATTTGGTTTATTATAGAATGATTCTTTTAAGAAGTACTAGCAGAAAACTGAGAGAGAGCCTCCTACATCGATTAACTACATAAAAATTTCACACACACATTACATGGGACCCCAGCTTTTAAAAATGAGACTGGACAGAAGAGGGGAGAATGGATCTAATGGATCTAATATATCCTGAAGGACTTGAACAGTTGCTGTATACTATTCACAAATAAGGCACACCCAGGTATACTTCATTGCTACATATTAAAAGGGTCCCAATCTACACAAAAGAAAGTGACCCGGAATTTTAACACTGTTGTCACAACTTTTGTTCCTATGTTTTCTGTTTACTACTCTGAAAAACCCTAGGTTTGGAGTGTTTTTTTCAAAGAAGAAAAAGTAAAAACACTACTAATGCCACACTTCCTGATGCATCCTTCCTCCTACTGGTCTCGTGACAGCTTTGAGTCATCTGATTGTGCCCTGACAACAACTATAAAAAATCCTGCCATTAGGTGCAATGAATTTCAGATATCTAAACTTGCCTACACAGGAAAAAACATCCAAAACATAGGCATGATTACTGCCTAAGAGTTGTCCACATTTTTACCAAATGTTAACTATGAATATCAATTGTTAGTCATCGCATACAAAATTTCCTAACTGCCATTTAATGGGTAATTACCACTGAAGTAGCATGGTAAGAGATTTCCCAAAGCAATTTGACTCTTTCAAAAGGTAGAGCAAAATGCGTCTAAGACAGAAAATACCACAGAACTGACATTACTTGAGCCTCCAAACTGCTAAATTTAACATGGTAAAGAAACAGTGCATGTTTTTTAATATCTCACACAACTCTCTTCAACAATAATTCACCTGTAATTTAAGAAAAAAAATCTAATCATATCTGTAGTTCTTTAGCAGAAGCTATACTAGAGACTTTGCTATAGTGAAAACGAACTGAAAATACAGTGAGTCTTTCACAAATCAGGTAGATTACTGCATATAACTTGGCACAAAAAGTTAATTCATAAGCTTCAAACTTGTAAAAGGAAGCTTATTACCCATGCTTACTAGTATACAGAGACATCTTAAATTTTAATTCCATCCACAGAAATTGAGAGGCATTGAAACAGGGTGGTTTATAGACTTCCTGTGATGACACACCCTTAACAGGTATGCTTGCAGCCAGCCCTTCATCTTTCAACAGCTGACCAACACAGGCTCTTGATTTCATGTTTTAAAAACCACCCTGTAACTCATCACTGGTTGCCAGTCATCACATATCTAAAATAAACTTGAAACTCTGCTTTTCAGTTAACCTCCTGACTTGCATAGTCAAATTTTCAGACAATGCAATTACAAACAAGAAGAAGATCAAAACTGCATTCAGTAGATTTTGGAAAAAATCCTAAAATTAACAGCTTTTTAAATTACTCTTTGATGAATCCCAAAAATCCAATGAGATTGAACAAGCTCTTAGTAGAAGACAACCTGCAGGCATATCTAAACTGTCTTTTAATTTGCTGCAACATTAGAAAACAGACATTAACTTGGAACTCGCAAAATCAGCATGAAAAATCTAATGGACTAATACAGGAAAACAAAGTTTCCTGGTCTTCAGCTGATACTGCCAAAATGACAAATTTAAGTATTAACAACAGTATCTCAGATGTATTTTGGAGTTCAAGCCATCCACCAAAGCGTTTACTGGCAACAATGGGAAAGCTAATCCTGATTTTCAATCAGATAGTTTACTCATTGTTTTAACTAAACAATACTTGGAGTTATGTTTGGGCTTAATACTGCTAAAAAGCAATACAGATTCTCTGCCAGTAAAATAAGGTACTGGAAAAAAACTACGACCACTTCTCTCCCTGTACCACCCAGTGGCATACACAAGAAGCCAATGTGTAGGCTTGTGTAGGTAGCACTGACAAATATTGATTAGGTATTTTACTTAGAGAGTCTCTTCACTGGGTAGCAAAATAAATCTTCTGGGAGGAAAACTGTGATTTTCCACAGAAAGTTTTGTTGTCAGGTTCCAGTGACAATGCTTAATTAACATCCATTTATACCCCCACTGACCTTTCACTGGACTTTGTTAACTACTGAGATAAATACGACCTCTGTGTTCTTTTTTAACCTTTTAAAAGTAGTTTACAACAGATGGAGCTGCAAAAACATCCTACAGTTTTCTTCAAAAGCTTTAAAGTCAAAAAAAGACTACGAAATTACAAGACAAATCTTCTTAAAATTTTTCCTTAATCTTCTTTTCAGGCAGGCCAAGGTTACAACAGTTGTAAAGTGTTCTGCTGCGTGTTTCCTCATCATTTCTTACTTGGTTATCTTGACCTTGTTTATCTGTCCATCTGCAAACACCTTTGGCAGCAACCCTACAGCAATCCCACTCACCCAAAAGAGACAGAACACTCTTCATTAGAAGAATTCATCACAAGAGGGAATTGCCCTTCCACTCTCCCACCTTCTGTATTGGACAGAGAGACTGGTTTTCTTGCTCCTGCCCCTGCCTTGCCACAACGTGGCATGGCAGGAGTCAGCTAGTGGAATCAGAGGAGGGAAGTCCTCAGATGGCAATACTGAAAATATCCATGAGGATGTAAGGAGAGCCATGCCTTACATGCACATTGTGTGCAACTGCTTATGGGATGTGCTTCTACGCACGGGAAAAAAACACAGGCATAGATATATATATACATACAAAGGTACACGCCAGTGTACAGGCACAGGTTCACGCTAAAATACAGGTAGGTGTCTGTATATATATATATATGTACAAACGCGCTGCATCAAAAGGTAGCCGTGTATCTGTGCACACTGAAGGACAGTGTTCAAGGCCAGGTGGGACGAGGCTCCGAGCCTTGAACTGAAGGTGTCCCTGCCTACGGCAGGGGGGTTGGAACTGGATGATCTTCAAGGTCCCTTCCAATCCACACCATTCTGAGGTTCTATGACACACATACATTACCCAGAGACACACACGCAGTGCCCACGCCAGCCGTGTCCCCATACACCCAGACACGTCTGTGCACAAGTGCCGTCACACGGTCCCCCCGCCGCTCCCGCCGCTCCAGCCCCTCCCGAGGCGGCGGCCGGGCCGCGCAGCGCCCAGGCGGCTCCGGCCCCTGCCGGGTGCCCCGGGGCGGGCACTCACCGTCCCGATGCAGTCGGTGAGGCTGGGCGGGGGCGCCTTCGGCTTCGCCTTGCCGAAGAAGCGGTTCATGGCGGCGGTGCCTCGGAGTCAGTCCCGGTCTCGGCGGCGGCGGCAGCGGCAGCAACAGCGTTCCCCGCCGACCCGGAACCTCACGGCCGACTCCACCCCGCGGAAGAAGGGCCGCGGGAAGCAGGAAGCGCTCTCACGGCGGCGCATCCCTGAGCTCCCGCCCCCCTCCGCTGGGTGCCGGTGGCCCTCGGGCCTTACGGAAGCACGGCTGTTCCGGACACGGAGACGCTTTTCTCCCTCAGCGCACCCCGTGTGACGAACTGCTGGGCTTGCACCGCCTGCTCGAAGTGTAGAATCATCCCCGTAAGGTCAGTTGATCTGATCTTTTACAAACGCCATGAAAACAGTCACAAAAGTGACTGTCCCCCTATACTCAGCACTGGTGAGGCCACACGTCAAGTTCTGCGTCCAGTTCTGGGCCCCTCAGTTTAGGAAGGACATTGAGGTGCTGGAGCAGGTCCAGAGAAGGGCAACAGAGCTGATAAAGGATCTGGAGTGCATGTCCTATAAGGAACAGCTGAGGGAGCTGGGGGTTTTTAAACTGGAGAAAAGGAAGCTCAGGGGAGACATTGTCACTCTCTTCAACCCCCTTAAAGGAGGTTGTAGCCAGTGGGGGTCAGCCTCTTCTCCCAGGCAACTAGTGACAGGACAACAGGACATAGTCTTAAGCTGCACTAGGGGAGGTTTAGGGTGGACATCAGGAAGAATTTCTTCACTGACAGCGTGATTAGACATGGGAATGGACAGACCAGCGAGATGGTCGAGTCACTGTCCTTGGAGGTGTTTAAGAAAAACTGGATGTGGGACTTGGTGCCATGGTCTAGTTGCCAGGGTGGTGTTGGGTCATAGGTTGGACTTGATAATCTCAGAGGTCTTTTCCAACCTAAATAATTCTGTGATTCTGTGATATCATATTTGTTTTATTTTTTTATATTAAGAACACTTTTTTATTTTGTACAGAAGTTACTGAGGACCTAACATATCTTTAGGCTTCACCCACTGATCAAACTGGTCTGACGTAAGGAACCCCAGCTTTATAGCAGCTTCTTTTAACGTTGTCCCCTCTTTGTGCGCAGTTTTGGCAATCTTAGCTGCTTTATCATATCCTGTAACAAAACAAAAGCAACAAGTTAGCCATTTGCAATTTCAATGATTCATGAGAGGTGAGAGAAAAGTGGGACACTTGGTCTTTGGAGAATTATTTGCCAGGCATTGCTATTACTATTTAACTCAATTTGCAGTAAATGCACACCAAATGTTTACACTAACTCCTTATTTAAAGTGAAGGTAAATTCTGTTATCCTGGACTTAACTCACTTAGATCAAAGATTTATGGGACCTTCTCCTTTAAAAAAAAAAAAATCTCATATCATAATCTTTTACTTATCATTATTAGCGGTCAGTTCAGGAGAACAGGTTCACAAATTCTCCCAATCCCCTTCTGATTCTAATCAAGAGTTATTTTTCTAATGCACTGGTATGGCCACTGTAAGGAAGACACAACATCTGCAACAGTAACAGCAATTGGTGATGTTGAAGTAAATTAACTTTTGACCTGAGCCATGACTTGGTCTCCTAAACATCATGACAATACAGATAGCATGTGAAAAATAATGTTGCCACAAGATATTTCAGTATAATGTTTTGAAAACTTTCTGAGCCTTAAACCTACCTATATGTGGGTTCAGTGCTGTTACCAACATCAAAGATTCATTCATCAGTTTGTTGATCCTCTCCGTATTGGCTTGAATTCCTACTACACAGTTGTCAGTGAAAGAAACACACACATCTCCAAGAAGTCTTGCAGAGTTTAAAACATTTTTAATCTAACAAGACAAAGAAGGAAACACCAATTACTTCATTCAGATATTACTAGTTGCACATTCTGGCACATTTGTTCATAACCGGTGCCCCCCTTTCAATATCAAATTATTTAACAGGCTATTTTCCTTCCAGTATCTAAAGGTGGTCTACAGGAAAGCCAGTGAGGGACTCTTCATCAGGAATTGTAGTGATAGGACAAGGAGTAATGGGTACAAACTGAAAGAGGGGAATTTTATGCTAATTATTAGGAAGAAATTCTTTACTGTGAAGGTGGTGAGACACTGGAACAGGTTGCCCAGGGAGGTTGTGAATGCCTCAACCCAGGCAGTGTTCAAGGCCAGGTTGGATAAGGCCTTGAGCAATCTGGTCTAGTCAGAGGTGTCCCTGCCCATGGCAGCAGGGGTTGGGACTAGATGATCTTTAAGGTCCCTTCCAACCCCTTAACAGAAGTACAGTAAATAGTACAACCTCCTCCTTTTGCATTCCTATTTAAATGAATTTGTGAGAAGCCGAATTCCTGCATAAAAACAAGCACAGTATGTGTAATCATTTTGTTATACCAGTTCACAAATAACCAAGTAAAAAATACAAGAAGGCATTTTATTTGTTGTAATTTTCCCCCTCAGGTACCAATTACAAGAACATATCTAAAAATATTAAGGACAATAATGTCTGGCATTAGTTGTATTCTTTGACAATCCACAACATGGCACCTTTTTTTTTTTTTTTTTTGGAGAGGTGACTGTTTCTATCAAATTCATCTTCTGACAGGTACACCTCTTGGCTGTTCAATATAATTTTTTTTTCCTCTTCAAAACCAGGCGCTATATGCTTAGAACAAATATATTCAGACTGGCAGAGAAAAAATTACCCTAAGCAGACAGTAATGAAGAGATCAAAAAATGCTTTTATTGTAAAATATAAAATTTCTTTCAATCATTTCTAACAGGCATAATAAAAATGCAGCATCAGTCAGTATAGACTGTGCAGAAAAATGACATGCTGCTGCTTCTGTGCGTCTTATTTTTAACAAGGCAACAAAACCTCAAAAACTTTATTTCTATTTAGTATCTTCTCTGAAAGTCACCTTAATTCAAAACTTTCACCCCTACCTTAACCTCTATGCCATTCTTTCAACATCTTACATACAGTTCTCCACAATCTTCCGATTTGGTGCTTTTGTTTATATTCTTGTCCTCAATTTCTCCTCTGTTTAGTTTTCCTTCTCAGTTTTAAGGCATAAAAAACCAAGAAAAAAGCCCCAAACAAACCCCAAGTAGATACTCCAAAGGAAAAAATAAGAATTACGACTTCTTGTCAAAACATACAAATTTCAGTTCAAGGTGATTTGTAACACTCCACTAACTTGACTTTTTAAAATTAAATATACAAAAGCAGCAGCATGTATCTTGGTATATCCTGCTCACACTGTAGAAGGCAGACATTATTTTAAATACTGAAGTCTAAAACTAATCATTTACAATTTTACACGCTTCACTTGCAAAAAGCATGTAACCCTTTGGTATTCAGCAGTAGCAGAATAGCTGCTAAAAAAAATAAAAATCCTTGTTTTTAGCTAAAATACCAAATTCACTGTGGCTTTGTACAAAAATCTTGCCTCATTTTGTGTCTCTGCTTACTTCCTTAGGCTGATGATACACATACATTGTTAGGGTAGAAGCTTATCTGCATAAGATAGTTTCACGTAAAAAAGATTCTCAGCTCCCTGTCAAAATAACAAGGGCTTGCCGTACAAAATAATAAAATTTGTTCTCACAATTTATTAGCTTCTCTGGTGCTTGTATTGACCAATTATTCACTGAGGGTTTTTCTGCCCACGAATTATGTGACTATATAAACAATTACCGAAAAAGTCCTAGGTGTTTAAAATTTCATGAACTTACCATCATGGGCTTAAAGACATTCAGTTCAAAGTGTCCATTGCTTCCTCCTACAGTAACAGCAACATGGTTTCCCATAACTTGGGCTGCCACCATGGTTACAGCTTCACACTGGGTAGGGTTCACTTTTCCTGGTTATGAAAGGGAGAGAAAAAGGTTACCAAAGAAGGAAGGAGAAAAACCAACCAACCAACCAACCAACCATCACCAGTCAGAAACAAATGGTTTCCTCATCTACCAAATCACATTGAACAGAAAATGATTTTAAAGAGGTAACAAGTCTTACTCGTTTCTTCTGTGCACCACAGAAGAAAAAGTATTTCCATAAATGATATTAGATTGACTGTAAATACTATTCCAGTATTTCAGCTAGGATTTTTAGAACAGCACTGGCTGCTTTAGCAATCTACCAACACTTCAAGAGCTTGATCAACTGTGCATGAGCTGAGCAGCTGTTCATTACCACAGTTCTTAATAGACAGGAGTATATAACCTTACTTACCAACATACAGCTGTGCAAGCAGGTATTTTTATAAATGCAAATTCTGGTATAATAGATAGGAATTGACAGAAGGATTGAATCATGGACTTACTGACATTTGTGATCACAGAATCAGAGGATATACTGAGTAGGAAGTGACCCATCAGAATCATCGAGATGCTGTTTGGTAAACATTTGTTAAGAGACAGTGGTCCAAAACAAAAGAAACAGGTAATAATTCTCTCTGCTTTCTCTGTACCTGGCATGATGCTGCTTCCTGGTTCATTTTCAGGCAGGATGAGTTCTCCTAGTCCAGAGCGTGGTCCAGAACCCAGGAAACGAATATCATTAGCTATTTTCATCAGACTACATGCCACCGTGTTCATGGCTCCACTGAGTTCAACTAGAGCATCATGGGCTGCAAGCGCTTCAAACTTATTTGGAGCAGTGACAAAAGGCAAACCTACATGGAGGAGGGGGAAGTATTAAACCAATGAGGCACTTCCTTGCAGACATAAACCAGATAATCAAACGCATGATTAGCTTAATAAAAAATAAAAATTAATAACACTATAACACACCTCTCTTCTCTGCAGCTTACTTCACTTAGTTCTTAAACAAATTAAAGTCAATACAAAAGACACAATAAAAGTCATTAAAATACAGAAGAATATGATTAGCATCTACCAACAACAAAGGCACAAATGTCAAGCTTTCATTCTGTGTTATATTGCTTTTGCACCACAGTATTTTGTGAATGTCAAAAATCTTTCAGAATTTAGCCCAAACTTATGTATTTTTTCCAGTAAATCAAGTTAGATAATTCAGATTGTTAGTTGCTTTGATGGGTTCCCTCAGTTATAAAAATAAATGGTTTTGCAGCATTAAGGTAAATAAGAAGTATTCACAATGGAATTAGCTACTTAAAGGAAAAAGATGCACCTGAGTACCAGCACTGGAAGCGAACAATACCTCACTCAGAACATGTGAAAGCTGATTCAGACTTAGGAGGATGCCTGCCAACAGCAAAAGCACAGCAGCAATGGAAGTAACAGCTCTGTTTATGTTAATTAAATGCCTGAAGATTTAAGCCTGGGTTCCGTAATGAAAAACATTTCTTCAGGACTTTGCCCTGGAAGGAAAGTTGAGCAGTGTGCTATTAGTGGGAACAGATATCATTAGGGACTGACTGTGGGCTGGACTTCTGCCCCACAGAACTACCGATCTGAGCTTTCATCACCCATTCAAAGAAGAGCAGCATAACCTCCCTAATTTCTTGTGTTTGGCAGCTCCTGACAAACACCAAATCCCACCCAATCTGCATGAGCTTCTGAATTGCACAGCTGCCTTCTCAGTTGCAGAGATCCATCCAAACTTTTCCTCTTGTCCTGGCCAATAAGAACATGTGGAACTTCAAGAGTCTGCCCTAGTTGTTTTAAACTCGTACAACCTGCCATTAGGACACCTAAAGAGCGCCAAGATGGAGAGCTTCATAACACCACCAAAACATGCCCTGTACTGCTCCTAGCAGCTTTGTTTACAAGAAGTTACTTCTTCCTTCTCAGGGTACAAGAAAGTATTGACCCTCTGCAAAACAGTGAATAATAGGTCCATTAAAAACAAAATACTGTTGATAAGCAATTTCAGATTTTACGGCAAATGTAAATGACAGATGTACATGTTCATTTTGGGGGCATTTTAAAAACTGATATTCTGACACAAGATCTGGTTTACAGATCTCAATATCATTGTAAATTAAGTTTTAAGATCTATCAAGACAGCATTGAAAGAATTAGACAGCTAACCTTTACTCTTTCACATGAAAAAAACAGAGTGGCTTTGGGAGCGTTTTTTCCCTTCTTTTGTGCTGAGTCACTGTAAATTAAGAGAGCCAGAGGAGCAAAGATCAAGACAGAAGCATTATAGTTGGGCTAATAATAGAAGTCTGAAACTGTATCCATATTCAATGAGCCTTGCTCAGAAAAACACCATAATTTCAGTCACTTTCAATCCACTGAATATAATTACAAAAATACACTGCACGAAAAATCTGAAGGCATATAACACATGGCATTAACAGAAAGTGTCATGTTAAAATAAAAATACAATTTGAGCTTATTAGAGGTATGGAAACAGAAAGATTTAGTTTGAATTTGACTGTGTGTTACACATACCGCTTTACTGGTAACTCCAAAATATGATTCCTCACCTGTCAGTTCAGCCACTTTAGCAGCAACTTTCTCAGCAAAGCCAATTCTTGTGTTTAATCCTGTGCCAACTGCAGTCCCGCCAGCTGCCAGCTGATATACTCTTGGCATGGTTGATTCAATCCTAGCCACACCATATTTGATTTGTTGCACATAACCACTAAATTCCTTTGAAAGAAAGGAGGACAAGATAAAGAAATAAAGACAATAACCAAGAATAAACACCTAGAATCATTTAGATTTTTAACATGATTTGACTAATTTTTTTAAAAAAATGAAAGCACTGAATTTTACCCAAATGTTACATCTTAGCATGTTGTCAGTAAAAGTATGGAAATATTAGAAGACTGTTCCCACATAACAATTATACATAAAACCAATCTGAATACATAAAATAAAATTATACATAATGCCTTTTATATCAGGCGTGTACTTAGTAGGATCTGAATCCACATTAAAACAGCTCCGAGACTGAACTAATGTTCTCCAACTACAAATAAAGAAATGGATCTTGGGCTTTGTTCACTTGACTTTAGTTTAGTAAAACCCACCTGTGCATTCTTAGAAAAAAGCCACAAACTTTACCTGGATATCAATTCACTTTAGTTCATTACCAAATTATTGTAATATAAGCCATTCTTGACAATATGATAAGATTTGCCATCTTTTATATTTATACACACATACACACATACACACACACACACACACAAGATCATATATCTAAGTTTTTCATTCAAAATACCTAGTAGTTTTGTTTGTTGGCAAAACTTCATTTACATATGTTTAGAGATTACAGACTGCAATTACCTCTTCCTTGCAATGCCAGCGTAACTGAAAAATTGCGTTGTGTTATTTGGTAATGAAATACCATTTAACAATCATTTATATCTTAATACTGTTAGAAGTAAAACACATATGCAAAAAGTTAAGAAAATTTATGACCCAGTTATTAGAGTACAGCATATTCAGCAAACTCCAGCATAGACTGAAAATACTCATACTGAGATTCAGCCTATAATTTCTCTTAAACTATCAACTTAATTCAGGCGTTCTCAAGTTGGCCTCAATATCCTCCAGTACATTTACAAGAATTGTCCAAAGAAATGCCTAATTTTATTTTTTTTTTACCTGTCCAAGTGTAAGTGGAACAGCATCTTGCGTATGAGTGCGCCCTATTTTTATGATTTGGGAAAACTCTTTGGATTTCCCTTCAAGTGCATTCTGTAGCTTCTTCAGTCCAGGTAACAACACCTCATTAACCTCCTGGGCAGCAGCAATATGCATTGCTGTTGGGAAAGTGTCATTTGAACTCTGTGAAGAAAGTTCAAGAAATTTATTTACAAGCTTTTCTCACCACTGTTGCTGTAAGATGTGCATGTATGGCTTTCTTCTCTTTATTTTATAAACAATTAGAAACTAAACTAAGAGTAAGCAACTCAGGACTGTTCCGCAAGGCCAGACTCTTATTGATAAATCAACTTTTTATAACTATACCTTAAGAAAGTTAAACTGAATAGATTGTTCACAACAACAATGGGACAAAAAAAAAGAAAAATAATTACTACAGTAGTTATGAGAGACAGGTAAAAGGGATGGATGATTTTAAAGGAATTGTAGGTGACTTTAAAACACCTATGTGTTGCTTTGATAATGTTAAATGGATATTGAGTAAGCACAAAAGATCAGGAAGGGAAACAACCAAGTCAGTGGCTTAGTATTTTGTTCAGATTACCTGAACTTTAAGAGTGAAGTATAATAAAAATGTCTACCATGATTGAACATTTAGAAACTGGATCTATATTTAAGTTCTTTTAAGACTGCAGTAATAGTCTTTGTCATAAGGCCACCTCTGCCCATACATTATGTGTGAATTTATCTGTCATGAATGAGTTCAAAGTTTTTAATCTGAACAGCTCATACTGTCACTGACAAACATCTTAAAAGTTCATTTAAACTGAAAAAAATTGGAAAATTGTTGACAAAGCTGTCCCCAAAACTACTTTTCTTTTTTTTTAAACTTAAACAGTGGATGTAAGAGAACTCAAAATTCAAAAACCCAAAACTTCTGGAGTTCAAAGAAGTATAATACAAGTATAACAACCTGGCTTTTGTTAACATGGTCATTCGGATGTACTGGCTTTTTGCTCCCCAGGGTGCCCCCCATTATCTCAATGGCTCTGTTGCTGATGACTTCGTTGACATTCATATTGGTTTGAGTTCCAGACCCAGTCTGCCACACTACCAATGGGAAGTGATCATTTAATTTTCCTTCAGCTACCTATAATAGAAGAAGAGAGAAAAGTTATTCTATGAGAAAATAAAGTAAATGCACAAACCTTAATATTTTATAGCTATAATTACAATTATGCTCTCTATTGTATTTTTAAATCTACATATAACAATTGTGAATTCACACAAGAATAACTAACGAGTTTTTGATGTAATACCAGATATTAAAAGGGAAAAAACCCATTTGCTATCTTTTTGAAGATGCTGAATTGTGAAACACAGAGATACATAGAATTTGATTTCATGTTCTACAGTCATAGAAAGAAAAGATTTTTAAAAGGTATTTTAAATTATATCTTCTCTTTCCCAAACAATGAAGCTGATTTTACAAGTGAAACACATCACCCACTTTACCAAATTTTAAAGCCATTTGAATTCTAATCCTTCTGCATAGGACTAGAGGTAGTACATGCTGGTTCTCCCTTCCACAGTTATTTGCTCAGGTTAGGAAAATTTTTAAGGCAAGAGAAATATCTCAAGAAGTTTCTCAATCAGAGCACATAAGGTGCTTCAGGGTACAGATTCAGTGTTGTGTGCCTCCTTCGGTTTTAACCATTTCGACAAAGCTTATCTGTACCCAAACTTCTCATCATGGGTGCACTGCTTTCTTCTAGGAGATCAACAGCTGCACAGTTTCATCATGTACACTGATCACAACTATATAACAGCTTGAATTAGAGGCACTGAGAAGTCAGTTCCTTTGGGAAATAGTCCCCCAGAAAAGGTGTTTTTGCCAAAGATCATCAGCCATCCACATGCAGTACATGAAATCTGTGTAACTGGACTGTGATATTTCACAAAAAAGAAATTTCATACAGGAAGTTCCAGGCCTCTTACACCTGTAGACATAACATTTTGCATCAACAAAGCCAGCAGATGGCTGATAGTATCAAACACCTTTTTCCTGTAAGACATGCTCCTCTTTGATCAACATTTTTTGGAGTCTATTGAATCTTATGCGCATTAGAGAGTTTTCTAAACATGTGTTTGTGATAGCATCAAAATCTGTGCTCAGAAGTATCACACCCATACATATGAGCCTCAGAAAAACAAAGGATCTGTTGTCACAACTCTGAGCCTAGATAACCATCTCCGGATTATCAGGATACATCAGTCCTCCTGGAAACATGTTTTTCAGGAAAGGATCTTCCATATTCCCCATCTTATACAGGGGCAAAGTTCCCACCTCCAGGAGTAACTTGATTCCTTGATGTATCTCTTTAAGTTGTAATAGAAAATTATTTTGTAGGTAAGAGAAAGGATATCATTGCAAGGATGTTTTTAAAACACAACAAAAAAAAGCCCCAAACAAGTTTCAGAACTTATGAATCTAAACTAAGTAGCCTTTAGCCACCAAAACTTCTAATCCACCTTTAACTAGGGGAACCCTAGAAACAACAGAAAGAGCCTGGATATATTCTGGAATTCCCCACAGCTATTGGCTCTTGGGACTTAGGCTGCTACAGCTGGTGGAAAGAGGATGAGGCTTCTGCAAATACTGAAATATTTTTAAGCAAGTTAGAACAAGAAAACTCTGTAACAAATGCTTATAGATAAACAGATCTGTTGATTTATACAAATCAGCACACCTGGTATTACCACACCTCAAATAATGGTCATTTACAACTCTGCACTTGGGTGGCATTTATCCTAAGAAAGAGGAAGATGCCCATTTGTCTCATCATGTCCTCTTTAGCAATAAAACTGATACTTACAAAGCACAGATTTACTAGTAAGCCTAAATCTGGAGAGGAAATAGACTAGTAACAGAGAAACTACTCAAACTGCAGATGGTCTTCAGATTACCAGGATCCAGATCCTGGTATCCTCTAATCCTTTACAGATTAGAGACTTCCAAAACTAAAAAGCTTTGCTTGGCATATCAGACTTCATTTAGTTAAATGAGCTGAGACTCTATTCCCCTCTTTTATACTGTTCATCTGGTAAGAGTCAAGTAATAATTATTCTTAATAGAGGGGAAAAAAATCACATTGCTTTAAGTATCAAAATGCATTTTAATATTCCATCATTTCTTTAAATGCAAGAAGTAAAATACTAAAATTATTATATAATGTAAATGATTTCTGAAAAACAAAATTCACTAATAAGAAATGCTTTTCTCTAGTAATCGGAGAAATGCAATGCCTCAGGCTCCTGTGAAAAGCTTAACAAAAATACAATGGCAGTTCTAGTATTTGAACAGTTTGTTCCTACCTCATTTGCTGCCTGTACAATGGCTTTAGCAATCTTTGGGTCGAGACCATAATCTTGATTTACTTCAGCAGCTGCTCTCTTCAAGATGCCAAAAGCCCTTATGACTTGAACCTGAGACACAAGGGTAAGTTTAAATACACAGTTTTCTTCCCCCAAAGGACATGTTAGGAATTTATAGCACATGTCTAGTTCTAAACCAAACTCCTTCTGATCATAAATCCAGCAGTAGTTCATTGAACAAACCAGAGAGCAATCAGGTCCTATGCCCTATGCTCCCATTAACAGTAACATTCATCCAAGCAGTCCAGAGAGCAGTATACAGCTTTCTTTGCAAGTCCATATATGATCTGTGCATCAAAAATTACATGCATTAAAATTGAACTGGTTCCATTTCTAAAATAGCCTTTTGAGGGAAAATTGACATGTTTCAGTACATGGAAAGTCAGTATTTGACAAAGCAAGTGCACACTAATGCTCTATGCACAGCTACATGTGAAAAAGCAACTTTATATCAATTCATGCTCTGCTTAACAACCTCAATAAAAAAACTATATAAAAGCCACAGCAAACAAATTATTCCATTCACTTTTTCATCTCTGAAAAAATGAGAGATTTCTATTCATCCCTGTTATTAAAAAATTAAGCAACACAATAAAAATTATTCAAAAGCAATATTCAATTTATTTCAGTGCAACGAAAAAAGGACTTCTACCACAGAATAATATATTGCTTTGGAATTTCTACCTTTAATTAAAATTCAAAGTTGCTTACACTTCCAGCAGAAGTCTAAGAAAAAGGTATTCATTTTCACATCCAAAAAGCACTTAAGAAAGAAATTAACACAGATTCAAATTACTTACTGGCATCCTTTCTGAAACACCTCCAATTTTGAAGTTCATTGTAGATCTTACAGTTTGGGCACCATAGTATTTGTCACTTGGGACCTTCAGTTCACCAAAAGTATCATATTCTATCCTAAAAGCCTCTTTAGTGGACTGTAGAAAAACAAAACAAAAAAATTCAAACACTGGTAAATGGCACATCCATTTTCAAAGCAAGCAGTCAAGAAAAAAAAGATTCAAGAAGGGGGAAAAAACACAAAGCAAAGACATGCGGCTAGTCATAGGTAGTTTTATACCTTTGAAATTAAGATATTTTTCTAGTTTGAGCACCTCTCTCACTGGAAGTCACAACTACTACCACTGTGAAGCCCAGCTGTCCCACTGGTGACAGGCAGCACTGCAAGACTTAAGACCTCAGCTGCCCACTGTCATCCTGATAAGAGACTGTTTCTTCTTTTCTAAGAATTAGTACCTTAGCTTACAATTTACAGAACTGGTGTTTTGTTAAAACCAAACTGAAGAACTAGCATAGTAAGAATTCAGGTAGCATCTGTCCAATCAACACACATGTAACATAATTCTTATTTGAAACCCACACCCCACATGACACTTAATACTGGAAGGGAGCAACTGACTAATCCAGGACCAAGTTACTGACCATTAATTATCCCCTTTGGCCTAATAAACCAGAAACACAGTTGCCCTAGCTGTACAACACAAAGGAACTGCATATAGGTATATTTTGTGCACTGTTTAAATATGGAAGTATTTCTGCATCATGTATACACCTCATACATGTTATTATCTAACACAGCCACAAGCAAATTAATTTTAGCTGACATACACCAAAAAAAGTAATTCTTTACTTTTTGTAGAACAACAACATTCATTTGGGATGATGTGATCACATTCACATGCAGCTCTACAAAGATTATGGAACTGGAACAGGAAGCAAGACCAGTTTACTCTTCATCTCCCCACACCTTGGTCAGCCAAGTCCCAGTTTTCTGTGGGAAAGGTATTCATCCTTCTCCAGAGGAGGTTACCTTCTTCCAGAGTCTTCAGGAAAGGGAAGAAGTAATTTCCAATTCTTTATCATGGATAGAGTAAAACAATTCCAGTCCCACAGGTAGTGTGTATACATACACAATGCCAGGTCCTGACATAACCACAACCCTTAGGGGTGAGCCCTTGGGAAAGCTCTATCAATAGAGTCAAGTCAGTGTTGCAGTGCAGTCAAAGGAGAAAACCAAACCCAAGGAACTATTGGGAAAAGCAAAAGATACAAAAAGAAATGTTGCCGTGCCACCATGGTTCATCCACAGTCCAAGGTCTTTGTGCAGATTTGGTTCTTTCATCCCCAAAAAGCATATTACCAGAAACAGTTCAAAGAAAGGTAATGAAGTTGATAAAAGGTAGGGAACACCCTTCTTAAGACAAGTGGCTTTTTTTGTTCAGAAAAGAGGTAACTTGGGCATTGAAGGAAAACTGAGGTCAATAAAAGCACCAGTATTAGCTGTTCACTGTCTCTTCCAGTACAAGAAACGGGAGCCATAACATTAAGCTTGTAGGAGTCAAGTTCAAAGCAAGGGAAAGGGAGTAGCTCTTCACACAAGTCACAGGCTGATGAAACTCCCTGCCGGCTGATGCTGCAGATGAAGGAAGTCTGCATGAGTTCAGGGAAGATGAGATAAGCACTCAGAAGAAAAATCAAAACTGGGTTATTACACAAACCAGGGATGGTGACTTCACCACTTCCCTGGGCAGCCCATTCCAATGTCTGACAACCCTTTCAGTGAAGAAATTCTTCTTGATGCCCAACCTGAACCTCCCCTCGTGCAGCTTGAGACCATGTCCTCTCATCCTCTTGCTGGCTGCCTGGGAGAAGTGGCCAACCCCCACCTTGCTACAAAGTCCTTTTCAGGCAGTTGCAGAGAGCAATAAGGTCTCCTCCAGGCTAAACAACCCCATCTCTCAGCTGCTCCTATAAGACTTGTGCTCCAGACGTCTCTCCAGCTCCATCATCCTTCTCTGGACTCACTCCAGCACCTCAATGCCCTTCTTGTAGTGAGGGGCCCAGAACTGGACACAGTACTCGAGGTGCAGCCTCACCAGTGCCAAGTACATGAAGAGTTTGGGTCAGAATATGGGGAAAGCATCATATGTGTTTGCACAGTTCTTACTCTTCCCCAGGAGCCCACTTCTGAAGTCAGACTGTTCCTCTCTTTTCTTCGTTCATTTTACTCACTCCTTGTTAGGTGGGTCTCAGTCTTCCTGGACAGGAGCACAGCTGGCTGTTGGCCAGAACGCTCTCTCCAGCAGCCCTGACGTTCTGAAGCAGCTTGACCAGGTTTGCATCACCACGGATGGCATGTTGCAGGTGGAGAGAGGGGAATGTCTCAGCCTTTTTGCTGACCTAAGCATCATTCCCAGCTAGATGGAGACACTCTGCCATCAAGTATTCCATCAGTCCCACACCAGAGACACCAGCCCTGCTCACTTTGAGTACTTGCAGAGTAGGTGGTGCACATGACTCAGAAGAAACTGCAGCCCAGCCCCTAGCAAGGGTTAGCTCTCACACTGCCATCCGCTCCCCGTATCTTGTGTTTTGGCTGATGCTCCCAGACACTGACTTCACAAGAATAGAAAGATTACTGTGACATAATACATCATTCCTATGTTCTTTAATCTTCTTTATCCTATTTGAGACACTTAGCATTCATTTACATGCTAACAAGAAATAGAACATAGTAAATGCTTCTTCAGTATCTTACTATCAAAAATGTTTAATAGGGATGCTTGTGGGTCTTACTGTACATGTGCACATATTAATATTCCAACAGTTGGGAAATCCCTGCTTTTGATACTTGGGCACCTTGTTTAAGCAGACAATGTCAACTTTCACAGAGCTGGATAAGCAGAATCAATTCAGTTCCAAGCCCAGCTCTCGATATGATCAGTGGTTCAATCACCAAAAGTATCCACGCTCAAACAATATAAAAAAGATAAACTACTTGTGACCTTTTAGACAAAAAAGCTAGCAGTTGCACAACTGATTCCTCAAACTTACATAATCCCAATGTCAACAATGGTGAAACAAAGACAAATAGGATCAGTGCATACTTGTACAAGTACTTTCTAACAACGAAATCATTATTAAAAAAAATTACTTCCCTAGCCAATTACACATTACACATTCGCAAACTCCAATGAAGTTAATAGGTTAAGGTGCTTTAAGATGAATGTAATTTGCTGATTCACAGAGTAAGAAGTGACATTAGCTAAAAAAGCAAAGTGGTATTTTTCATACATACTGAAGTAACTAAACTGCAGGATTACCTTCGTACTGATGTAGCACCCTGAAGAAGCCTTGTCTGAATTTGAATGTAACAAACATGCTTCCCTCACTCCTCAGCCAGAATTCACCCTCTTGAGTGGCTTTATGAGCAGAAGGTCCCAGTTCCTGTATTTAAAGCAGTTTCTGCAGCCACTCCCTGACCTACAGGATCTGCTACAAAATGGTGCATCATCAGCACACTCTTGTCAACCCTCTACTCCCCCACCCCCTGGGCCATAGGAGAAGCCAAAAGGAGACCTAACCAACTCCACCACGAGCCAAGGCAAACTCCTGTGCTCTCACCTAGTTTCTATCACAGCTACAAGCCTCTGCTCAGAACTACTATTCCTCACCTTTACAAATTTATTTTTTTTTAAATTTCTTAAAAAGGCCTGACAAGGCATGCTCTGCCCTCCAAAATCCTGAGAACCCGCAGTCCAAAGCTAACAAAGCTAGAAAAACAGAACTGTACTTTTGCCTTGTTGGAGGGAACTAATCAGCTAGAACTGATTGCACCATAACGCCCTGGAGATACTCAAATGGCACAACTGCTGCAATATTGCTTCCCGTGGAAAATTACATTCTGATTTACAGATGCACCAACTTTTGGATATAAGTATTTCAATTCAAAGAATCATCGTTTTTAGCCTGTCAAAAGCATTTTCTGAGGCCATCAGAAAATGCAATCTGTGCTCAATTGCTCTCCTTTAGCAGATGAAGGATGTTTCCATTTTTAAGCATCATTTGTCCTTTATAACATCGAGTCAAAAATTCTGAAATTTACCCTTTAGAAACCAAACCCCAATATTTTACAACATTCAGCTACAGAAGAACCATTGCAACCACAAATCCATTTAAAACATCCTGTATAGCTCTAAGTTAAGAGTCATACCATAGCGCAGCATGAACATTTGGTTGTAGCTACACAATGTGTTTTAAAACAACTGTTGCTACTGAAAAAATATCTACAAACATCAAAAAGTGATGGTGTGGGTTTGTTGGTTGGGATTTTTTTATTTAAATAGTGGTTGGTACATCTTTTGGTGGACCTCTTTTAAATAAAAACACAGAGAACTTTTCCTGTAAGAATTCAACAGCTTGCTTGAGTTACAAATTCACTGAGCGATATTTTGTTATGACTATTGCTGTTATTTAAACCCAAGCAACTAACAGTGCACACAGGACAGGTCATATTTCTGACCTGCAAAGAGCAGGTCTTATTTTTCTTGTAAGATTGCTGCCTTTCACAAATACCGAGTCTTCAGCAAGTAAAAGAGGGTCATGATCTAGAATGCTTTTCTCAGATGACACCAAATGGGAAGATAAAAAAGGGAACCATCTCACAGGCCAATGGTTTGAGCTACACAGTCTGCTTTGACACCAATTTTATTATGCAGGTAAGTTTCATCCGCCATGAAGTTTATTCACTTGTTGGAAAACTTGTTCTTTTAAATGCGATTTTCTACACCTTAATCAATATCACAGATTGGAAACCAATGTTCTCATTAAATTTACTAACTAATTTGGTAAACTAAGGAATTGATAAAATCCTGAACACCCCACTTTCTGCCGAAATTATTCTGACAGTCTAAATTACCTCATTTTAAGGAGTGAGCTCACAGAGATGCACCTGAGGCTAAGGCTTCCATGCAACATCCCAGGTACTATTACCGAGATTTGAAGTTCCTTATTCGAATAGCAGTTTTGTTTCCATGTTGAACTGTGTGCAAATAATCAAATCCCACTCATGTCTGAGCCCAACAGTCTGTACTTGAACAATTACTGCGAATGCCTACTAGAGGCCACGGGCTGCTCTCTCAGCTAAAAGCTCCCTAGTTTTCAGACAGCCCCAAAGATATTCCAGATATCCCTACTCCTGTGACGATGCAGCTTTTCCTTATTTGCACCTCAACAGCTCTAAGAAAGGATCTTAAATTCCTGTGAGAGCAGCTGCCGCATAGTAGAGCTCTGTGAGACCAGGTCCCGCACCAGCACCTTTCCTACCTGCCCCCCCTCGCCGGCCACAGCAAGGCGGCTCAGGGCCGTGCTCACGGCGTCAATCTCATCCCCCGGAGAGCTGCACATCCCGGCCCGCCCCGGGAGCAGCCGCCGCTCGGGGCCGCAGATCCGGGGCCGTCAGCGGGGCCGAGCCAGGCCCGGCGCTGCCGCAGGAAGGATGCGGGAAACGGCCGCGCAAGCCCGGCAGAGAACGGCGGCCACGTCCTCCCGCTGCCGGCGCGCTCCCGACGGAGCAACACCCCGGATTAAAGCCCCCGCGCCCGGCCCTGCCGGCAGCCACCGCTCCCTCTGGCAGCGCCAGCTGCCCGTTCCCCCGGGGCGGGGGCGGAGCGAGGGCGGCGGCGGCCGGCGGTGGCACTTAGAGGTCACCGCTGCCCGCTCCCCACCCGGGCTCACCATGGCGGCGCGGGGCGGCGGGATCCAGCGGGGGCCGGCGGGATCCAGCGAGGGCGGCGGCCGGGAGAGCAGGAGCCCGGCGGAGCGGCCGAGGCGGCGGCAGGCGTGGAGTGATCGGTGCATGGTGGCGGGGGGCCGGGAGCACCGCGGGGGTGGGAGGCGAGGCAGCACCGCCCCGGACGAGCGTCACGGGGCCGGGTGCCCATCCCCGCCGAGGCTCCGCCGCGCCAATCGCGGCCGCGGGGGGACGGGCCGGGACAGGACCGGGATGCCCGAGGGGGGGCGGGGGCCCAGCGCGACCCCGGCGAAGGGCAGCGGGGGAGGCGCCAAACAGCGATTTTTCCCACGCTGGAAAAAAACTTATAAGCTTGTCCTGCCTTACTGTAACCTTGTCAAAGATGCCTAGAGCGTTATTTCCTCTCCCCCGCCCCCCTCCCCCCCCCCCAGCGACAGCCTAGGCTCCTTCTATTAAAAAAAAAGGCTTTTCCCTTCCTGCCCATGCAAGGGTAGTTTTTCGACATGCTACGTCTCCCCCTGGTGCGACGTACAGAAACACTACAAGAGCGAAATAAGGGGTATTGAACTTTTCCACCCAGCACCAGCAACATTTCAACACTTCAGGTTTTCCAAACATTCTTTTTTTCTTTCCCAACAGCAGCCAACATTCAGCAGTAAAGAAAACATTTTTTTTGGTCAAACATTGCAAAATGCTTCATTCAATTGCAGTCTGCATAGTTACACTTCTGTCATCCAAGAAGTTATTCACAGAAATGCTGCTAGAAACTGCTCTATCAATGCCTCACAAGTTACATCTTGGCAGTAAATGCACATTAAATTTGAGTTTGGTAAGCTTTAACATTAAGGCAAGTCTTCTGCCCCTTGGTCCCTCTTACCACAAAAATGGCTTCAGAAGTTCCAGAGTCAGTAAAGATTAGTATTACAGTCTACATTATATAGAATATCATATTATTCTATTACGGAGGAAGTAAGCAGAAGCCTCTTGTTTTATTCAATAAAAGTATGACAGTACAAAGTTATAATTACTAGTGCATCACTCTTCTTTTCTGCAATTTTACTTATAATCATAAATTATGATGTTTAAGTCCCCACATCACAAAATTCAATATCTCCATTGTGTCTAAAACTAATGCGATGCATTTCACAGAATCACAGAAAGGTTGGAAGGGCCCTCTGGAGGCCATCTAGCCCAACCTCCCTGCTAAAGCAGGTTCATCTGAAGCATCATATCCAGGCAGGCTTTTCACTTCTCCAGAGAAGGAGACTCCACAACCTCTCTGAGCAGCCCGCTCCAGTGTTCTGCCACTGACCATGTAAAGAAGTTTGTCTTCATATTCAGATGGAACTTCCTGTGCTTCTGTTTGTGCCCATTGCCCCTTGTCCTGTCACCAGGCATCAACCTTTCTTGTTCTTAAAGCATGGAAATTAACTATACATTCACGATAAAAGCACTGTAATTATATATATATATATATATATCTCAGCATATTCAAACAAATACGAATACAAGACTTGCAATGACTTTATTTAGACACATTTTGTGTTTTCCCTGTCAGTTTTGACAGATGGGTGAAAGAACATAAGCTGTCCTGCGTTCTATTTTTAATAATTGCACAATAAGCCACAGCAGAATACAAGCTGGAGAAATGTTTAGTCAGTATTTTCCATTCATTGCTAGTAATAACATTGTTTTGTTTTGCTTGTGCTATGCTTATGTACACTGGCCCCCTCTGGGAGAGGGCTTCAAGTGAAATGCAAGTTACTAGTAGGAGCGGATCGCAGGCGGGACGGTCTGGCAGTCTTCCTCATTCAAAGTTCTGTCGATCACAGGTCTGTATTTCAAGGTAACCTGAAGTAAAAGGGAAAAAACAACTTTAGGACAAACAAACGTCCTGCATCTAAACAAGACAGCCTAGCTAACAGGAATGGCCAAATAACATAGATAACAGAACGACTTCATGGATGTTAAGCTAATTTCTCCATTACTTTCCTTCCATAGAAAATGAACAGTTTGTAACCTAGGAGGAACATTAAAAGTTCCATCACGTTACCACTAACTAAATTCCTTAAAAGCAAAGCCTGACCAGAAATGGTATCAGAAGACTGACTTTAAAAAGGCCTTTGAACAAAAGTAAACTTTTGGCTAAGACTGCTAGCTCCTAATTCTTTCATCTAGGAAAGCCCTGAAGACGAGAACCCAATGGGATCAGTTAGGAGACAGAACTGTGTTTCTTTCTATTCTCAGCAGCTATTCAGGAAGTGAAGTGTTCTCACTTGTCCCCAAACTAGCTTCAAGGAAGTTAAAACTGGCTGGAGAGGAAATTAAGAGGATTCAGAGCATGAGATACAAAAAAAACCCCCAAAGGTCAAGACTTCTATACGGTCACAATTCAGTTCTATCTTTGAAATACCATAAAGCCACTATGCTAAACACCAACAACAGGTTTTGTCACCATTAGAAAAGAAAAGCTTTTGAACTAGCCTGACACAAGGGGAAACACAATTCCAGCTCAAATAGCAAAGTCACTCAGCAACAGAGTAAGTTTTGTGACAGTATTATCATCATTACAAAAGCTGTCTATGCAAGCAGCTGTCTGTTGACAGCAAAAAAGACCCTCAAGCATCATGTACCTTCCCAGATGGGATATCCACATATGAAAGGGTGTGCTTTCTCCAGTGCTCTTCAAATGGCTTTCGCTGTTGGCCTTGGAGTGGCTTAGAATAGTCAAACTCATCTACCCGTAACTAAGAAGAAAATTAGGTTAGTTTTGGCCAGAAGTTATATCTGCAGATCACTTTAAAACCACACAATTAGTTGCACTTCAATTACAACTGTAACACAATGTGTCTCCCAGCAGACAGCAAGCTTTATCTTAACACTGCTCGTGTCCAATTTTAAATCCTCAGGCTTAACAAGGGCTTTAAGGTAACTTCCCTTGCATAGGACAGTTATTCTGTGTATGCAAGTTTATGTATGCCCTGTTTATGCATTCATAATGTTATTACTACAGTCCTACTATATTACTATAAAGTCCTCTGTATTACTGTAGAGAGCTATAGAGGTCTCTAATCATTCAGATGCAGACACTGAACAACTCTTCTCAAGACTGTTGCCCAGTGTTGCATATATTGGTCATTTTATATATAACAGATAAGAATAGATAAAGCAGAACAGATGGGACCTCAAACAAATACTACACTAATCATAACACTGAAGACTGTACTTAGAAAAAATTACAAATTTAAAATAATCCATCTGAGGACACATAACAAGGAAATTCAATCCTACATGCAGGTCACAGAAAATATTTATACCTTATAATCCTCTCTGGCATGGGCACCCCGGGACTCTTTGCGAGCCTCAGCACCATAAATGGTTTGTAGAGCACAAAGCATCAGGTTTTGCAGTTCGAGGGTCTCCACCAAGTCAGTGTTCCACACAATACCTAGTAAAATATTAAAATACTATGGAAAATGGTCTACAGACAAGTCATTCCTCAATTTACTTCTGTTCTATTGCTGATACTTAGAATTGAGCTACCCAAAGCTCTACATACTGCAGCCACAGTACTCCACAACACTAAATTACTCACATTGCCTGCAAAGCTCAGGAATGACTCCAACACCCTAACAATCATTATGAATCTTGGAAAAATTAGAGTTCTACCAGTCCCTGTTGCATGTGTACTACTGAAACAAAATTACACCATAGATTCTTGCCTGCAACTCAGCCCCCATACCTCATTTCAGACCCTAAGATCTGACTAGATGACAGCTCTTTAAGTATACCCTAGTAGATCCACACAACAGGGCTTTCCCTTCCTTCCTGACTGTCTGAGAGAGGAAAATAAATCCTGCTAGTCATACAAGGTTCTTCAAGATGGACTCAAGTTCACTTTCACAAATGTATCTCCATTCTAAGCTATTTTAACTTTTCTTGATGCTTAGCAAGAGCTGTCCAAGAAACCCAGTTCTATTTTTAGTGTTAGAAAACATGTCCAACAGCATTTGTTGAAGAGAAATACATGTGAGTGAACAAAAGGTACATCATCAGTTGTACTTAAATAACCAAGTTCTCTTAAGATACACTGCCAGACATGGCAGCATCTGCATTCACTGTGATCTGCTCAGATGAAGAATGAAAACTGAGTGTTAAGTCTATGAACAGTCTTGCAACTCCCTGGCCTTTTCAGAAGATACTAATGAAGTTCATCATTCATCTTAATATTAGAACAACTTCACCTCATGTTCTGAGAGAAGAGCAGTTTGTACCTCACACAGTTAAATCCAGTTTCAGTCTCTGCTTCTTTGAAAGATTATGCAACCAGAAAATGACCAATAAGATCAAGTATTTTACTGATTACCACGTTTAGTAAGTAGGGCTCTACAAAATATTTTGAAAGATTCAAAATGGTCAAAGTCTTCAGCCAAAGTTTCAAGAAATACATAAAGTTTATAGGACAAAAACCCCAAACACCAACACTTTTCCCAGAGAGTACTCTGGCCAAGGTGTATTCTTTGCTATCAAATTACCTCTGTCAAAAGTCTTTAGATGAGCCAGATCACTATAAATTTGACTAAGTTTTTCACAGCCTTCTTGGAGTACAGAACCAGTACGGAATACGGCAGCATGGTTTTGCATTGCCTGCAACACAATAAAACAAAATCAGTTTGATATGCTGCATGCAAACCCATGTAACTTCCTTAGCTCCAACAGGGTTTGCTACAGAGCTGGTTTGACTCCATTCTTCTATTCACCCCAAACAAATGAAACCCCACTCTATTATACAGCACGTAAACCACACAAGAGGAATGACCATGAAGGGAAGAAGAAATTAACAGAAGACATACAACCTTTGCTGCACACAGACAATCTTATCACACACTTTTTACTTCTGCAAAGCAAATCCTGAAGTGCACTTTGCAAAGTGACCAAACCCCACTGTTGCTTGCAGCTTCTCCCACCCTGTACTTGAGAGCTCCACCAGGCTTACCTTCTGCATGTTAAGTCGCACTTCTGAAGTTCTTATGCTCCCGTTAGCAAACCTTAATTTGTCAAGATTAGCAACTGACTCTTCACCAGCATTTGGTTTAATGGGGGGAACTGGTTCTCCTAATAA